TAACTTGGCGTCTATGGGTAGTAGTAACGTAACGTTACAATGGAAACCTGGAAGACGGGAGTGTAGCGATACGGTAAACAGTTCGCGAGGGACATGACTTCACGAAGCAAGGCTCTTCGCGAAAACCGCGAAGTTAAATCCCTGACGAACAAAAATGCATTTACAGTATTCAAAAACTTGTATTTCCCCAGAACTATCGTAGACTGGAACTCGTTGCCACCAAGCACAGTTGGGGCATCATCACTAGAAAGCTTTTAACAACTCCTGCAATTAAATGTGCAAAGATTGAGTGTAACAAGTCGTTCAGTGTAATATAGTTAGCTGCCGCTGCGCCGCGTGCCTGTGGAGCTGGTGTGTTACGCCGAAGGGCAGTTACATTGTATACCAGCTATACTGATACAGAGACAGATACATGTACAATCAAAAACAACATTAATTGTCATGTCACTGTGGAGAATTTATGTCATCAACCTCCCTGAAGCCTGTTTTTTCTGCAAAAATGGTATATATTTATTCAAATTAGTGTGCCCACAGCAATTTTCTCACTGCAGCTAAAACCTGCCCAGTCATCCTGATGAGATAATACATCATTATGAGCTATAGTTAGAAGATTGCAGGTATTACCTGACTGTGGAGCAGGTGTTCTGTGAAAGTGGGGGGACAGGTGTATCATTTGTTATCTTGTCTGTCAACTTAGGTCTACAAACAGGTAATGTATGTTAATATATATATAAGACCTTCCAGTGGAAGCAGGCAATGGTCTGTATACACCTGAAGTTATCACTGTTACAGTAAACCAGACAAAATTGTTCTTTCATACTCGTGGTTACATGAAAAAATGTTTAGGATATGATTCTGTAAAATTGCTATTCATTGGTATTGCCTATTACTGTACATAGTGTGTTTTTTTCCTTATCTTACAAATTTAGATTGACCCCATAAGACCATTTAGTGATTAACCCCCAGGGACAGTTCATTACTACACTGACTGTACCAGTAAGTCATTTTATGGTCGCAGTAGCAAACGTTCACGGTCTGAGAAAAATGGACATGTTTGCGGAACTATACATTTGTGATGGTGCAGCAAAAATAAAGTTATAGTGAACTAGAGTTCCCCGATCTCATACCCCCGATCAAATGATGTTAATCTTTATGACTGACAAATCATAGATTAGATTATTCCCCCCTGATTTAAAGAATTGGAACCTAATTCTCATGAATTATATCATTTTATCATAATCTCAACCAAAAAACAGTCTTATATTAACAAACAATGCATTCTAGCATTTCCTAATAAATTATGCAAATGAGGTCCTGATTTGAATAAATTATGTTTAATGATGTTCACCTCAATTTAACTTTCAAATACCACAAGTATGAAATTCCAGGCAGTTATCATTAGATAATTATAAAATTTTCTCATTAATTATGCAAATTAGGTCATTATTAACATAATCAATATCTTCCTGTGTTTCTCTCGTTGTCAATTACCAATGTCACAAGTTTTAATTGTCCTATCATGGAATGCAGCTGATTTATAGAATTTCCCCATAAATTATGCAAATTATATCCATATTTGCATAATTGTCACATAATTATATGAAGGATCACGTAAGCTACCTACATACCAAAAATCACGACGATCCGTCAACCGGTTCTTGAGTTATCCCCTTTTGAATATTTTCAAGAATATATCGCTGCAGTTCCAGAGCAAGCCGCTAGGGGGCCTAAACTCACATCACTTCTTCCCCAGCACAAGATCTACCTACCATCTAAATTTCATCACCATAGCATGTCTAGATCATGAGATATCAAAACCGGAAGTTCAGCTGCAGTACCATAACAAGCCGCTAGGGGGTCCAAAATCTAATCATTTTGAGGTCTCATCAAGACCTACTCACAAATTATATCCATATTTGCATAATTGTCACATAATTATATGAAGGATCACGTAAGCTACCTACATACCAAAAATCACGACGATCCGTCAACCGGTTCTTGAGTTATCCCCTTTTGAATATTTTCAAGAATATATCGCTGCAGTTCCAGAGCAAGCCGCTAGGGGGCCTAAACTCACATCACTTCTTCCCCAGCACAAGATCTACCTACCATCTAAATTTCATCACCATAGCATGTCTAGATCATGAGATATCAAAACCGGAAGTTCAGCTGCAGTACCATAACAAGCCGCTAGGGGGTCCAAAATCTAATCATTTTGAGGTCTCATCAAGACCTACTCACCTACCAAGTATCAAGGCAATCCATCAAGGCCTTCTCAAGTTATCGTGTTTACAGACACACACACACATACACGAACGCCCCTGAAAACATAACCTTCTTGGCGAAGGTAATTATCTGTTCACAGTAATGGTAAGTTCGCGGTACAGAAGTGACCACGAAAAATGCAAATATACTGAAAAAAAATGTGTGATTTACAGTATGTCATCCCTAGAGTCTCAGATACAAGTAATAAGAATTAACCAAGAATTAACCTGCCTTTTAACTACCATATCCCAGTGGGGTACTTAGGCCACACCAATTTAATTTCTTGGTTACGGATTCGCCTGCTTCATTTTTTTCTGATTTGCAAAAAAAAAAAAAATTGACAATCCACTGCAAAATGCTCATATTTTGCCCTGAACAGTTGAAAACAGTCCTTTTCTTCCTAGTTGTAACAGTTATTCCATTGTTATTCATAATCTTTCATTGCAGTGGTATCATTAAAAGTTCAAAATTCATTGTTTGAATTTTGAACCAGCCTGGTGTGTTGACTTCATGGCTCCTATCGTACCATTTTGGGCCATAATAGGATGCCTAGGCCTGTTTAATTTTTCATTTTTTTTCGCTGGCCTATTCCATTATTTTTCTAGAAAAATCAGTTAACCAAGAAATTAAATTGGTGTGGCCTTAGTCAACTTATTGACTATATCAAGACGTTTTACTTTAGCTGGGATGAGTTAAACCTGTTTTCAACCTCCTCGCCATCAAATATCTGATGGTGTGTCATGATTAATTCATGAAGATTTCCTTGCCTTGCCACTTGTAGTAGAATTTAGATGGACCAATGTGTCCTAAATCCTATGGTATGGGTATATGTAGATTTTCAAATAAGGCCACAGCATTTTTATGGATGACATCAGCGCACGCATTAATTTTTGCCTGATTTTGGAAAAAAAAAGAACTTTTGTTGCATTCTGGCAGTGGTCAACATGTCGAAAATGGGCAAAGATGTCTAGATCTGTTGCCATGTCGGAAGGTGGATGGCAGATAACTATGAAGAAAGGAGACAAGAAAAAGCTCTGATTTAAAGTTTTGTTTCTTACTTTGATGCAGTGATATGTGATGCTGGCTGTGTATATGTGATGTTCCCACTAAATCAAAACCATTTTGTACAATAATTGAGTCAAAATTTTAGAATGTAGGAACCTTTTTTTTCGGCCCGCCTTGTTTTTTTTTCTCCCACTCGCATTATGTTTTGGAGTCTGTGGAGGATGTCATCCATAAAATTTACTTGCTGTGGCCTAAGATGAAATGGTCTTGATAGACTATACATGTAGCTATAGAACAATAAAGTGTGGACTTTCTTGGATGATTGGGATATCTCTAGCCAAAAAAAAACTTGTTCCGTAATGTACCCCTGGAAATAATTGCAACTTGTCATTCTTTCACAATTTACAGTCTTTGCACTGCTGAACACATTATTGTAAAACTTCTTTGTATCTGATTCTTTGTCACACAGAATTCCTTACATAATGAACAGAACAATACAAAGACAATGTTATCAACTAATAGGTCAGAAAAGAACATCTGGATTTTGTCACCATTGTTCTAGTGACACCCTTTGTTATGATATTATTATTTTTCATAACATACTGTGAAAGACTGTCTCTTGACGGAGTGTTCCATATTTAGCAGGGAGGGGGCCAGTATGAAATTAGTTGCACAGTTCTACACTATTTTTTCCACTTATTGCAAGCAACTTATTGTTCATTAATTGTTTTAAATAATTTCAGTCATATTTTTGTACAAACATTTTTCTCATACATTTCTTAGGAGTTTGGATACAAAATTGACAGGGAAACATTTTATATAATACAGTCAAACCTGCCAAGGAGACCACCTACTCAAGCAGGCCACTTACCCAAACTTTCCCCATTGACACAAGCAGTAAGCAACCTGTCCAAGGTGACCACCTGGCCAATGTGACCGCGACCGCCCTGAGTTGGGTCTGCTCAAGGCTCGATACCTGTCCATGGTGACCACATCATTTTTGATCATGTTGATTATTGATGGGTAGCCAGCTTGGACAGGTATGACTGTATTACTACATGACGTTAATGAAAGGCCAATATGTGATATCAATAACTGATCATGAGAAACAGAAACAAGATGGTGTCTGCAAGATGTCAATTTCCAAAATGGCAGAGCCTTTACCACTGATGACAACAGTTTTGAGAAAAAAACAGCTTGTAAGTATTGAGAGTATGTAGAAGTAATTAAGTCCAACTTCCCAAGTATATTGCAAGGACATGTAGCTTTACTATCCTTGAGGACTATGATGTAACCTACCATGTTGAGTTCTACCATACTGTTACCTGCCACCTGACTAAGGCCCACTTTAGACTGGGATTGTAGGAACGGAATACCATTCCGAAACCGTTTGAAAACCTTTGCCACCGTTAACAAGTTTTCTTTAGACACTGGTGGAAGCGTAACGGGCCACCTGTGGCATGAGATATTGCGGGTCAAAATGGCAGGAGAAGAGCCGCATATTTTGTCTTGTGACACACTACATTTGTACATGTTTTTACCTCCATGAAAAATGCAGGTATTGTTTTTGGCATGTCTGTCTGTCTGTGTGTTTGTGTTTCCGGACATTTGCGGACAGCATAACTTTTGAACCTTTGGATGGATTGTAATGATATTTGGTATGTGGGTAGGTGTTGGGTAGGCAAAGGTCAAGGTCGATTTTGGGCCTCCTGGTGGCTGACCTTGGTACTGCATGAGAACTTCCGTTTCTTCCTGGACAATTCCTAGGCTTGAACCAGCTTCCTTCCTCTCCATGCTGGTTGCAGGCATGATCATTTGATACTAGTGCTCCAGACCCTCCACTGGCCTTTTGCCAAATCATTTTTCTGGTAGGGAGAGACATGACATAACTGGAAAATGATAGATACGTAAAATGAAGAGAAAAATGAACTGGAAAATGATAGATATGAAGAGAAAAATGACACGAGCATAACATAAAAATACAGGCACAGGCTTCTAAGCGTATCAATATCATATGGCCCATGCTGGTTCGCGAAACTTTTTCCCTAACCTAGCAGGAAGCAGGAAGTTCCCCACTGAAGGGTTCTAATTTTCTAAAACCACTATGGAGGCGGTTTCCAAAACGTTTCGTAAAACCCTATAAAATACCGTTTTTTCATCTTAAGACTGGGAACAGGTAGCCCATCGGAAACGTTTTCCACCCCAAAGCCCTGTCAAGAGTGGGCCTAAGGTAACCTTGCAAGTTGGTTTACTACCACAGGAAGCAGTTAGAACTCCATATATAAATTATAATCATCCTGATGGACAGTTCACCACCCTTCACTGTTCTCACAGGAACAAAGAACCAAAACAACCTGCCCAGGATAATATAATTAATGTTTCCAACCAGCAAGGCTAGAGTGAATAAAAACAAAGACTCTTGTGTCATTGATGGGATGGGCTTTCACACCTGATTTGATAATGACAGACTCGGAGGTAACTACCACCACAACTGTACGTTCCACGCAGCTGGCAGACTAAAGCGTTCGCACGAAATCTACTGACCTGCGCTAAGTTGTGGTATCAATCTCAGGAAAATTTCAATATCTCAGTGTCTTGCTGCACTGAAGTATGAAGAAATTTGAATGTAAACAATAGTGAAACGGATCTGCCATATTTTCAGGCTGTTAGGTTGGAATAAAGTCCCTTTGTTCTCTGTCGGAAACAAGTGGCCATTATGCTGGCCATATGTCTCCTGGATGGGGAAATCAGTGATACCACTTGGTGAAGGTTAGACATCTATAGGTAATGAGATATGCCAAAAAACAGTTACTCAAGCAACTGGATATGATTTTGGAAATGGTCAGACGTTTCAGGTATCATCCCCAACCTTTCCTCAGTGACACTGGAAAGTTGTCAGAAAAGCAGGTTTGTAAGACTTTAGTATGAACTATTGATGGATATGCGAATAAGTGATGACAAATTTTTTTTAGTTGCGCTGCCACGTGCTAGCGATTGTAGTCATCGATCAATCAATATACAATTATTATTATTATAACAATGCACCCAGTATTTCCAGCCTTGTACCAATCTTCAACAAGTTGGTGACAGGTTGCTGATGTTACTGACTGCTTCATCTTCACCTTCAAGTCTTGTGTAACACTGACATGTACAAGAAGTTGTTGTTGGGCCCTTGTCATAAAGATAAACCTGTAATAAATGATGTAATATTATATTTGTTGTATGTTTCCGTGCAGGCCCTGAATGGTTTTGTGGTGGTGGTGACATGTGATGGGCTGGTGTTCTACGCCTCTCATACCATCCAGAACTACCTGGGATTTCAGCAGGTAAGGTTACTCAAGGGTAAAGCACCAACAGTGGTGTGTACTACTACATGATTGTACAGACCTTTGGTGTAAAGGAGGTAAAGCACAATGTATGTACATAATATGTATATAATGTGAGAAGTAAAGCACTTAACTAACAATTAACAATGTTACGTACATGTACATTGCACAGACATGTAATGTGAGAGGTAAACACCAACTGTGTTACAATGTGAGAGGTAATGTAAAGCACTAACAGTGTTACATACATGTACAGGTACATGCACAGACATGTAATGTGAGAGGTAAAGCACCAACTGTGCTACAATGTGAGAGGTAAAGCACTAACAGTGTTACATACATGTACAGACATGTATTTAATGTGAGAGAGGTAAAGCACTAACAATGTTACATACATGTACAACAGTGTTACAACTTACAAATGTTGTACATGATTGTACAGACATGTAATGTGAGAGAGGTAAATCACTAACAGACTTACATGTACAGATACCTTTGTGCTCTCCTGTACAGAAATTGTTGTTATTGTGGGGTCGTGTGGCGCAACGGCAGAGTGCGCGACTCGGAATCAAGAGGTCCCGGGTTCGAGTTCTGACATGCCACCGATCTTGTGCCCTTGGGAAAGGCACTTTTCAAGACTTTCCCCACTAGACTCAAGTGAAAATTAGTATTGTCTGAGTGTCCATTTTTCGTTTCTATGTGCGGGACACAACACCAGCAAAAGCTGCCTCTGTTCCGCGTGTATTGCACTGTTGCAATTTCAAGAAATCAAATCAATCAAATGAAATGTTGCATGTTTCAGTCGGACGTGATCCACCAGGGAGTGTATGAGCTGATTCACACGGAGGACCGGGCGGAGTTCCGGCGCCAGCTGTCCTGGAACATGCAGCCATTGGAGGAGACTGCCGACCCCAGCCAGGTCTCAGCTAACAACAACAGTGTGGTGCCATACAACGGTGTCATGTGTCCAGGTGGGCTGACAGAACAGAACAGGGCTCCAAATACTGGGTGCATGTGCACAGCACGTCTGCAGAACGTACTGCACCTGCGCAAAACGTGTATTGTGCATAGCACTTCAGCAGAACGTCTCATATCAGGTCCTATTTGCTCATATAAGGTTAACATTCCGTCTGTAGTTTCCAAATGTTTTGTTGGAAAAAATGTCTTCTGCAACAGGCAAAATACTGAGATGCAACGTTGACCAAAAAATTGAGGGTTTTGCACAGACACAGTACGTTCTGCCAACATGCTCATGTGCACCTTAGTGCGCCCAAATTTGGAGCTGTGCACCCAATTTTTTTTTTTGGTGCACAGCCAACAATATTTTTTTTGGTTTATGTATAGTACACATGTAGTATATTCTTAACATATAAGTGTCAGAAAAATAATATAATTATTGTTGTAGTAGTCTTCTTTAGAAATAAAACATAATTAGCTTTTGCTAACATTATTCATTAATGGTTTATATAATATATATATATTATGGTACACCCAAAAATTTTTTTGTGCAACCAATTTTTTAGGTTGGGTACATCAATGCACCTATTCCCAAAAATGTATTTCGAGCCCTGACTTCAATCTGTATCTGTGTTCTTAGTACAATCAGGGCTCGAAATTCATGTTTGGGAATAGGTGCACAGGTGCATCCAACCCAAAAAATTGGGTGCACAAAAATTTTTGGATTGCATATGAGATAAAATATGTAGAATGTCAGCCAAAACTAATTTTGTTTCACTTCTAAGGAAAAGTACTTCAACAATGATTATTATTTTTATTTTTCTGACACTTATAATTATATGTTAAGAATATGCTGTATACTACTATACATTTAACATATTTACATACGGAAACCTACAAAAATATTTGGTATTTGGTATCACTTACCATGAACATTGTGTTATTATGAGAGACATTACATGTATATCCCTTTAAAACTTGTTTGATATGAGATGTTTGCTGTGTATTATGTTGTTGACATGATGATATGTTATTGCAGAAGGCTCTATGGTCCTGGAGAGGTCTTTTGTATGCAGGTTCCGCTGTCTTTTAGACAACTCTTCAGGATTCCTGGTATGATACATGCTATTTACACACATTTTGACAAGAGTGTGAATAATGTAAGCATGACAGGTTGAGATTCAAATTGTAATTCATACATGTTAGTTGAATGGATCACATACAGTACACATGTAGAATTGCAGTCATCTGTACTCTTTTAGCATCATCCTTAATAGCCACATATTTAGTTGTGTAGAAATCCAATAAGAAATGTTTTCCTTCCACTCATACTACACTGTAGGCTCTCCACATCACTGGACGTATCAAGCAGCTGCATGGTCAGAACAAGAAACTGGAGAGTGGGGAGCGCTACCCACAGCTGGCGTTATTCGCCATAGCCTGCCCTCTACAACCTCCCTCCATCGTGGAAATCCGGACCAAGAACATGATATTCCGCACAAAGCACCGACTAGACTTCAGTCCACTGTCTTTGGATCAAAAGTAAGAACACAACTGACTTTGAATGTTCTCTTTGGCCGCACCAATTTGATTTATTGGTTCTCAGATTTTTTAAAACAAAAATATGAAGCTACAGGGTGAAAAAAAAATTAGAAATCCTGGGATATCCCAAAAATGGTTTGATTTGAAGTCAATATACAAGGATGGTTTGTAATTCAAACAATGAATTTTAAACTTTTAATCAAACTGCTGCATTGATAGATCGATTAACTGTAACAACTAGGAAGAAAGGACTTTCTCAACTGTTGAGGTCAAAATCTGAGCATTTTGAAGTTGGTTCAGAACCTGATTTTTATTATTTTTTTCAAATCAGAAAAAAATGAGGGCAAATCCAAGAACCTATAATTATTAATTAAATTGGTGTAGCCATAACATGTTTTTTTAAAATGTTAATTCTCCAAAGACACTAAAGAAGACACCAGTATGTGGAGACCCTTAAGGTGGCTTTTCTCATGGTGAAGCTTAAGGCACACCCAGCACTGGGGGATTATCATTTGATAGACAGCTGGAGCAGACATGTTGTGACATAGGAATCAGACTGGAAGGTTAACCTGAGTTCAAGTTGTCTGGTATGAGAGACTCACAGCTGGATAGTCAACAGTTCTTCTCAACACAGGGAAAATGTGAAATCTTGACTCTGAGAAATAACAAATTAAATTGGTGTGGCCTGATCACAAAATAGAATTGTACATAATTGCACAAAACTCTGGAACACTTGATAAACATCTGTGTAAGTGTATATCTTTATGCCATAAGTTGTTTTACTGAATATTGACAGCAAACTGTCTTGTGGGTTTTACATATAGAATACAACAGGGGGTATTCCGAATCGCCTGAGGTATCGGCCCGACCGCAGGTCGGATCTCCCGACGCCCGCAGGCCGGGACCGAGGGCGATGCGGAATACACCGTGTTGTATTTTATTTATGTCATACCCACCCAAGAAAACGCGCCTTTCAATGCAAGATGAGCCAAAAGTTGGTGCCCCTGAACCCTAAAATGCAACAACATCAATTCCAACGTCCGGATTCTGTATTCGAATTTTCCAAAAGGGCACACACGGTTAGGGCGAAACTCGTTCGAATCATTTTATGGAAGCCATGGAAGCGTTCGATAACAGGTTCCGGACCGGGCCGTACGGTAAAGTACGGCCCGCTCCGGAACCTGTTATCGAACGTTATCGCGGCCCAGGTATGATATAAATTTTATTATACATGTATATGTAGGTTCACATGTCTTCATTGATTGTTGAAAATACTATCTAAGATTATTAATAATATTCTAGGGGCAAAACTGTGCTGGGGTATACGGAGAAGGAACTCCAGGCCCGATCTGGGTACCAGTTTGTCCACTTTGCCGACACCATGTACTGTGCAGACTCCCATGCCAGCCGTAAGTCTGCTACAACTTTACATGTTTCACATGCTGACGTCATCTTCTCTGCACAAATGTTTCACACAACAAAGTCCAGACAGAAATTGTCTCTGTATTGGTAAAGAAACAACAAGAACTAGAAACAAGAAATGGAATATTGTTGGATAGTGATGAAAATTTCTACTTTCTTTCATCATGTTTGTCAACCGGAAAAAAAAAAGAAACACAAAATGGATAATCAGAGATATTGTGTGAAAGTATTGATTTGAGAACAGCGTGAAAATATAGGATTTGGATGAAAGCTTTATTAAAAAATGACATGATTACTTACAATTTTTCAGTAACTTCAATCTATGTAATAATGTCAGACTTCTACTGTTGGTATTTTAGTTCTTACCATAAATGTCTTCAACAAAAGCATCCATCCAAGGAGGTGCCTTGGTTCATTCAACCAATGGTTTATTGCTGGTTCAAATGTTTTGCTTTTTGAAAATCAAGAAATGAAAAATTGATGGGAATTTTGCCCGTGCCTTCCCCTTCAAGTTACCATGTTGAACACCTATAGACGAAGTACATGTGACGTAATAGTTTGTGCAGGGAAGATTGCATAGTTACCAGCATATTTCTCATACATGTAACATTTTTATAGGAAAATTTAATGATCTTAAGATCAAAATTTAATCTTCCTGGTGTATAGTAAGCTCTTAAAAGATTTAATTGCTTTAAGTTTTAATCCTGAGGTCAGATTTTGCCAGGAGAAGTGCAGATGTTTTAACTGGTTGGATTCTGACGAAAGTGGTTGCATATTTCCAGTGATGGAAAAGTTTTTAAAAGTTTTAAAAACTTTATTTGTACGTTACTTCAAAATGTCTTCACAATAGGGTGATTGACCTTATCTGAAGCATTGTCTTCTATTTGTGGAATTATCTTTAAAGATGTAAGAAAGTCTTGTATGTCTCCTGGTAGAATCAGCTCTGTTTGGTTCTATTGATTGACAATGAAAACTGTGCAACCAACTCTGCAGCTGAAGAAAAAGAATTCTGAGATTTTGGAAATATATGAGGTGTCAATCTACTGTTCTGCAATTCTTGCCAAAGGGAAAAAAAAAGATTGTACTTTCCTTTGATGACAGGCAAAGTTTAAATCACACTGTATTGTCATGGTCATTTCACCTGCAGAATTGTTTGCAAATGTATGTATTCATTTATAAGCCATGGATGTGTGTTCATTATTAATTATTGACGTGTTATAATAGTATGTTGTTGTTCTGCTATGGAAATATAATATTGATAAAGCACATGCATCACAGTCAAACAAGCCAGCCGTTATGAATCCTGTACAATTTAGCAAAAGATGAAACAGTCAAACTTGGAGGAAAATTTGTCCAATTCCATGTAACTTGGCCTGTTTGTGTGATGTCATGTCAAAGCTATGGCTACATTCTATGTGTACTGAAGTCTGTCTCTCCTCTAAGACTTACAACTTTTGATTAATAGTTAACATATTGCAGCTTTCTGAATTTTTACTCATTAATAATGAAGCCATAGCTTAACTTCATACATTACTTGACTAGATTATTTTGTTGCTAGTTATGATATTTTACTCTTGTTGTTGATTATGTTACTTACAAAAATGTGGCTTGATGGTCAGTACCATTTGACACTGCTGTCAATCATGGTTTGCTCACATCAACTCTTGTTGACATTTGTGCTAAGACTGAGAGCTTGCTGCTAGCTTTACATGCCCTGTTTGAAAGACCCTAGTAGCCATTCCATACAGTCTACCTCCCCTCTGGGAATAGCCATTCCAGACAGTGTGCATCCCCCTGTGGGAACAACCTTGAAATTGGAAGACTGGGAGGTTGGGTTAGCAAATGATTGACACCTCGTCATTCACGCTGACTTAGCCTCATTTTTGCAAGGACCATCCCACACCTTCCTGGTACTACTAACAGTCAGGTATTGTTGCGCCTTGCCTAACTGTGTTACTGCACTTTTGTCTGTGCTGCATGTCTGCCTAACTGTACAACCCCACTAACTCCTCCTCCGCAGAAAGTCACTTGTTTTATTCACATCTGCTGCTTCATCCAATTTAAGTTACTTTCAAATGATTTTATTTTCTTTTTTCCATATGTTAAGGGCTACATTGGGAAGAAATCGGTAGTGTCAAACAGAAATTGCATGGAACTATAGGACACTATATGCCCAAAAAACAGATTGAAGAAATTGATGTGAGGTTTTGAACTGCCTGATATAATAAAACAATGACTTTCTGTTGAATACTTCTGGAAATGTCTACTGCATGTCTGTCTGTCTAATGAAATGTTTTGTGTACATATAGTCTAACAAACTGTCGTTTTGTAAAACTTCCATATTAACACTTTTCACAGTATAAACATGCTCTAACTTGTAGCTAAACCAATGCATGTTGAATGAGCAGTAATGCTATAACAGCATGAGTAGTTGGACATGATGTCATGAACGTACAGTAACTTATGTATTAGTCCTTTCTTGTAGATTTGGTGGCAACAGATAGGCCCTTTCCATATGCCCAGTTTTGACTTTCCTTGCTCGATCATAACACCTTATGCACAATATACTGGTCTACTGCAGCTGGTCTCTAGTTTCCTGCCTTATCATTTTATCTGCACAAGTTCATATCATTCCTCGATCAAATTCTCTCAATTTTATCTCAGTAAGATTTTAATATCTTAGTTTCCTTTGTTTCGCAGGAATCCTGCTTGTTTCCAGCTGCTATGATTATGTTTTTTTTCCTTTTTGTTCTTTTCATATCTTATGAAAGGGCTTCCAGAGATCATAGTGCCAACAGGTACATTAGATCATCGTATGTAGTGTTGTGATGCTACCATAACACCTACTTAGCACAACAGCTCCCTTTGTATTCAGGAAATCTTGTCAGAAAGTTTTTACCAGTTTTGTATTATTCATTTGGGCTGAATTCAAAATCAAGCTTGGAAATAAGAATTTCTTTCATACCAACGTGTTGGGCAACATTTGACCTTCTCAGTTTTTGAAGCATGACTCAAACAAAGTAAGATATTAATTCATTTAATTCAGTTTTAGAAGATTGGGCGAAAATTATTCTGGAGGCCCTCTCCTCTCCACATAAACAGATGAACGCAGATATCCTAAAGGGGGCCTGCATGGGGGGTTCCCGACAACGCTGTACGCTGAATTCGGAAACCTCTCGATTACGCTTTACGATAAATTCCAAGTGGCTACAACGCATTACGTAGAATTAAAACGGCGAATGGGCTCTACGCAAAATGTGCCAATTACGGTCTACGTTGAATTAGAGCAGGCCATCTACGCTCTACGTAGAATTAAAACGGCCGATTACGCTCTACGGAAAAGGGCTCTTCAGGCCCCCCGTAAAGAGTGGGAGTTGTTGTGTGCTGTTAGTGTTGTGGTGAGAATGTTGAAGCCCTATGATGATTAGGATATGTCCATGTCTCTGCGTGTGTCTCTAACCCGGACGGTGCCCGTTTTTGTCTCCCTGCAGTGATGAGACGCGGTGAATCTGGTTTTGTCGTTTTCCGCCTCTTAGTCAAGGGAAACGTCTGGAAGTGGGTGCAGGCAAATTCGCGGGTGGTGTTTCGGAACGGACGTCCCGACTATATCATCTCCACGCATCGCCCTCTCAGGTACATGTACATGTGGATAGGCAGTGGTACAAGGGTAGACTGTTAGTTAGGCAGAAATGTACATCTACATGTAGTAGCCAGGACCATAGCCTGGCTCCCTTTCCTTGGTAACAGAAGAAAATTTTGTCATCCAGACCACCGATTGGAAAGCAGGAGAAGAAGACCATATCCAGTATGGAACCACATACGGAATAAGTAAGACAATATTTTCCATATGGTCATGTCCAGCCTCAAGATGCCCAACACACTTCACTTCTATAGACTATAACATTGACATCTGCTCTGTTTAAGTGCTCATGACACCAAAATATGACTTTAGCTGATTGTAATTGACATAACTAGTATTAACTGGCTAACGGACACCTTTACAATAAATATGCACGGTTCTCTTGTTTCATTCGAAATTCTAATGCCCTGCCTTGGAAAAGTCTGTATTTTTTCCTGAGCTGAGGTCATCCAGTGATGTCAGCTCAGGAAAAAGCACAGAAATGTAAAAATAAAACACAGAGATGCAAATAGAGATGCCCGAAGTGGGCAATTGGGCAGCTTGGGAGTCTAAAAAAATTCCCTTATAGAAGATTCAGTCATCATGATTGGAACAAATTTCAAGTGACCATATTGTATGTACACTTCCGATATTTGTATGTATTTTACAGACTTTTTTTGGTGTCATTTGGTCTTTAAGACCTTTCATACACACAGGGATGAGCCTTTTGTTCTACAATTTCAGGGTGAAAACAAAAAATATTCTGGATGAGGAAATCTGTCTGATATAGACATTTACTGCCACTTCTTAGTACATTTTCATCATCATTTTATATGAAATGTTTAGAAGTGTTTAGAAATAGTTCCAAAACAAGCTATGTTAGGATTCCTTTTTATTTTTTGGTACTGCCAGAACCAGCCTACAATACAAAATAAGCGGCCATTTTTCCATGTTTTGAGTTTGGGCTTGGTGGAGTGGCTGTTACGTGGGTCTGTATGTATGTCAACGAAGTAACTTGAGCACAATGTAGTTGTGGATGGATCGTATTGATATTTGGTATGTTCAAGTTAAAAAATGCTTTATGCAATTAGGTCTTCATTTGCATAATTTACAAATGTTGATGTTCCTTGTTTTAAGAATGTCATGTGTTGGATAGTCCTATCACAGATTTATAGAATTTCCTCAGAACTAAGAGGGGGATGGGGCAGAAGGGGTGATTCCCCCCCCCCTCCGCAGTGTGGAGCTTTTAAAAAATTGAGCTAAAAAAGAGGCCATTTGAGGGAAACCCATAGGGAAAAAAATGTTATTTCTAAGGTATGTACAATGTATTCTTGATTGGTAATATTTCACATTTGATCTGGCATTCTTGAACAAAGAAACACAGTCACAATGCCCCTACGCTGTATTTTAGCGTAGGGGGTCCCCAATGCTACCTAGAACCCTGATCATTATTATTAGCCACATGAGATTGCCCAAACATCTACATGTATTTTAAACAAGAAATGAATGGAAATTAAACGAGAAATGCACATCTTTTGCATGCATTTTAATAAAGGAATGCACTGCTTTTAATCACATTTTGCATGACGTTTGATCAGGATTTGTACACGTGCAGAAGGGAAGTTATTAGATATCTGTACAGTTTCCCTCGCTGTCTGAAGAGTGGTTGGTGATTGAGGATATTGACTTCAACGTTAGCTAATAATACAGCTGTTAGACACAACCTGAAGACTGCTTGGCCCAGATCTGAATCAAATTCATTCATTCGTACACTTAAGTTAAAATTTATATCATCAAAAGCTTTTAAAATATGCCTGTGGTGGTCAAGAGTAGTCACAAGTGCATGTTCAAATGCTACAAGTAATTGCAGTTAGAGGGCTAATTGCAGTTACAAACAACATGTATGAAAAGAGAAAATATAATGGTATGTGAGACTACGTCTAACATAATACTACATTCTACAACAGACGTGGTACTAGTTTGGCTGGGTTTGACTTCTTCTTCTGAGGCAATGGAAGACAAATTTACCCACTTCTTCCATAATATGTGGGTTCTTTGATTTTAGTAGTAAAATTGTTTTCTCATGGTAGTTAATAGTGGGGAAGTAAGTGAGCATTTTGGACACGGTGGTAAATAATTGTTTTCTGATGTGGTCATAAAATGGACAGTTAGACATGAAATGAATTTCGTCTTCCGCTGCATTTGAGGAGCAATATTTACATATCCTCTCAGACACAGGTAGTTTCATTTATCACCCTTTTTTGATTTCCAAGGGGTGGGCACTGATTCTAATTTTACTAATAGTGGAGCGCTGCTCGAAGCCACAGTGTTCTAGGTATTTTTCTACACAGTATTCAGTTTTACATCAGTAAGGCCACAGCAAGTAAATTTTATGGATGACGTCCTCCGCAGACTCATCCTCAGTGGGCAAAAAAAAAACAAGGCGGGCAGAAATAAACAAGGTTCCTACATTTTAAGATTTTGACTCAATTATTGTACAAATGGTTTTGATTCAGTGGGAACATCACATATACACAGCCAGTATCACATATCACTGCATCAAAGTAAGAAACAAAACATCAAATCAGAGCCTTGTCTTGTCTCCTCTCTTCATAGTTATCTGCCACCCACCTTCCAGCATGGCAACAGACATCTTTCGGCAGATTGACCAGAAGCCAACAAAATTTCTTGTTTTTTTCCCAAAATCAGGCGAAAATTAATGCGTGCGCTGATGTCATCCATAAAAATTACTTGCTGTGGCCTAATGGTATATAATATCTCAGCTTACTGGTATCAGCAGACAAACAATGGAAGAAAGCCTTGTCCTTAATACTTAATACATATGTTGAGGATCACAGGTTGTACTATCAATATGCAGTAGGTACTAGGAATATCCACAGTGGTCGAGGGTCTCCTTCACTTGCTGTAACAATATCCGTCTACGATTATACAGTATGTCAGGGAACTATGTTGTAACAGGAGTGCATCAACTTGCAGAGGGTGTGTATCGGTATTAAGTTGTGTCAAGTGTGTCCAGAATTTAACAGTACGAAGGGATATATCTAAATCTAATGGGAGTTTTCCTAGTTCTGCTCTAGCTGCTAACGGGGGTGTCCTAACTTCGCACGTGCCCTAACCTCAGACGGATTTTTTACTCATCCTTATTATAATTATGCAAAAGTACACTGTGTTTGTTGCCAGTAGTCAATGCATACAGCTGTTATTTGCATTGCAAAGTATAGTTCTATATATTTATTTATTGTTTTGTGGAAAAAGAGAATATCGGTCATTTTCACCAATCATATTAACAATGGTGCTGGAAAGAGGGTCACTGCATTGCGGCTCGTGCCCAGAAATAAACAACCTGTACCAAGATTTGACACAACTGACACAAACACATTAGGAATAAAGCTTTGCAAAACAGTAAATATGTGGGAGTGTTTGTTATTTAGAAAACCAACCTGTGAAAACCAATGTCAACACCACTGTCATCTGCATTTCCCATGATTCCCCTGGGACTGCATTGAGTACGTAAGCCGGGTTTTCAGTGGAAACACTGACTGATTGCGTTAGATACTACCCTCCTCTCGAGACCCACAATTGCAATTTTACTGTCCAAAGAAAGCTAAAATATCATAAAATTCTATTCTTATTTTTGTTTACTCAATTAATTTCATCATCAACGCCTGAAGAGAGCAAAATTACGAAAGCGTCCGAAGTTAGGGCATACTGTCTAGTGTAGCCACATTCATGAAGGTACATTCACGAGAAATTTATCGCTTTTAACGCGGAGGGTGAAGGGCTCATGAATAGTACTGTATGAATAAATTTCTTATCCAAGTACATGTACAATGTATGCTGTTTACATTAATGTCCTCAAAATTCATTCATCAAAACCTGACCACTCTCTGACAACTAGCAATAGAGCGCGTGAAAAAAGTGTCCGATGTTAGGGCACCACCCGTTACATTACTGTGTGCCCCAGGTACATTCTTACAGAAGCAGAATATGGGAACTTTCAAAACAATATTCAGGAAGAATTTGATCCCCAACATACTTGAAGAATACATACCTCACACTTTTTTAGTATTACTTTTTGTACAAGCTGAACCTTAAACTTTATTAAATAATATATATTGGGCTGTGTCAGGCATGGACCTGGCAATTATTGGTCACACGTGTAAATGAAGGAGAACAGTTACATGCCATACATTTGTACCTACATGTACATGCCACAGTAGTCTGACATAGCCTGGGTACCATCCTGGTTAGTTTACGTCCGCTCCTACAGTCGCTACCGACCTGGTTGGT